ATTTTCCTGAGCAGGATCAAGTGCTTATGTTCTAGGCAAGATTATTTCCTAAAATAAATTAAACAATTGGAAGTGATTATGCTGATCAGCATATGCTTTGTTAATGCAGTATTTGATTGTATGTTGGTGTTTAGTAACCTCAGGCTAAAAGCGAATCTGTAATTATCTCTTCTTTTTAGAAAGGTGCATTTCCATTGATATATCATCTTCCTTTGCCTGAGTCCCTTCTAATTGTCTGCCTCCACAGAGTGAAATTAAAAATAAATGAGTTGTTCAATGAAGGCACTTGTTTCTGAGTTCAAGCTTTCAAATGTCAAAGCTGAGAAGAGGGTGGGTTATTTTTCCTTCTGAGGGATCCAATAGTCTGTGAGTGAGTTTTTGATGATTGCACTATTTTGGAGGCTTATCATATTCTCTGTAATTGAACCATATGTTGAGTCTTCTTTGGAGGAGAAGGGGCTTCAGTCTGTGTAGTGCTGTATCAGTCTTGCATCCCAAAAGGTTTGAGGTTAATGTGAAAATGAAATAGTAAGGCAGATGCTGTATGTAATGTTGCTGTAGGTGGCTAATCCCTTTTGGACTGAAACACTTAAAAATGTTCAACTCACAGCTGCATACTACATGTAACAAATGACTGGATGATAAATTGTTGTAGGATTTTTTTGACAGCCAGTCAAATTCCAGCTGTCTGTACGCAGAGTGGTATTTACTGTTGCAATAGTGTTGCAATGATAAAAGAAGTTCTTGACTTCCAGAGGCTGTGAGCTGTAGAGGAAACTGCACGATTTTGTGGGTGACTTACAGATATGTTTTGGAGGGAAAACCCTGAGTATGTTTCAGCTAATCAGCTGTGCTGGTTTCTCCTTCCTGCATATTTCTATATCACTAAAATATACATACAAACATTATTACATGTTAGGGTGAGGTGCCTGGGGGAGTTAGGTGTGCCAGTGCCTTCTCCTTTCTCATACTTTGGTTTCCACTGGAAAGAAGCTCTACTACATTTGTTAAGAGGAACCATAATGTTCTCCAATCATACTTCTCATTTCTTAGGCCTTCACATATACCAAAAAGAGTACCGTTCCTCTTGCAATTCCAGGCACATGTAGAACCAACACTTTACACCAGTGTTGCTGCTGTTTAAATATAAGGGAACCCAGAATGTGCAAATAGCAAACGTAGTCTCCATAATACTTTGTCTCCCATGTCCTATGCCTCAGTAATTTACTTAGACACAAATTGATAATCCATGATAAATTTTTCTTTTATGGTCTGGAACCAAGCTTATTTGATTATTTGTTTAAATGTCTAAACCAAATGTTGTTCTGAAGTCATAAGGTAGCATAAAATTAATCATTTTTGGTCTGGCTGTTTATACATTACCTTTAAAATGAATAATTCCTCTTGTTGCTTTCTTTGCATTTCTACTAATGCAGTATGATTAATTTTATTTCAGCTTAGCTCATCAGCTTATGGTTAAGTGTGTGATCAGCAAGAATTCAGAATCAGAATCTGTTAGCACATTTGATCTTGTGAAGTCACTTCCTATTCACCTACTCAGAATTTCTGAGATTGACCATAGAGGTTGGGATGTGGTTTCTGGGCTTTCTTGTGTGTACTTACAACTAGCAACACTATATTGGTTATTATCTAGCCATTGCAGATAATCCTAGCCTGTATATAACAAAATCAGAGTTTGTTCTAGTTTGACATAAAATGGTGTAATTTATCAATATATCCAAAACAGAGCAGATAAAGAAAAGTAGAGAGTATGTAGGGAGAAGACAAGGCTAGAATAAGATGTACATTTATATATTTATTTGTTTATTTAAGCTGCTTTGCTTACTTGACAGCTAGAAATGTTCTAGAAATGGGGGCTTTTCCAATCATTGTCATCTGGAAGGAGGAGGTATGTGAGCATAGAGTTTTACCATGTAGCCTTTTAGCAGTTTTAAAAACATTCCAGAAATTGTGTTTCAAAATGCAATTTGTTTACCCTTAGGCAAAAGTGACCTGGAGGAACCAGTTTTCTCAAGTGCTTTTGTATCTTGTTAAGCAATAGAGTAACATCAAAAAACTAAAATTAAAAAAATTAAAAATTAAAAAAGAAAAGTCCTTCAGTTGCTGACAAGGGAGATACTTAGTTGAGGGACTGAAGGCACTTCTGGTTTCTTCAGAGCTTTAGAAGTTTCACTGTAAAACCTCTTGCTCTTTCCAGAGAGTATAGCTTTGGAACTCTGAATCCCTTCATAAACCCTGTTTCATGCTCACTGCAGAACTAGAACTAGTGTATACACAGGGTGAATTTCATGTTCAGTCCTTCTAAAAGCCGCAATATGCACTCCCCAGACAACACTTAGGAAACCCCTTTGTGAGGGCATTGTATTTCATTCCCCCCTACACTGAAAGGACATTAGATCTGAAGGATCACCATGGTATTGATTGCTCTTAACAGTATATATTTTGATGGGAGAGAGGTAAGGAATGTATTTAAAAGAATAAACAAACCCAAAACAATCTAAACAAAACTCTTCTAGTCACTAAGCAGGGACTTATGAGGGCTCTGAAGCTATGTTTTCTGGATTTGTTAGTTTTGGATTTCCTCTTAGGGCAATGTAACCTATCCAACATATCATCCACAGCAAGGCTTCAGTTAGCTTTTTGTATATTACATGATATTTGGATTTATATTTATCATTTTGTTAGATTAATTTTGGTGGATGTATTTATTTAACTATATTATGCTTGCATGAGGGCCCCCTGGTACATTAGACTTGTAAATGTTATCAAGTAAAGTAACTACAAGTAATTAATATTTTTTAAGACTAATGGCATCAAAATGCAAATAGGCAACAGAAAACCAGCTGTAAACTCCACTACTCGGCTTTCTTTCAGCGTGCTGCAAACTTGGCATTTGCATCACTATTTTTAGGGAAAGAAGCCAGCACAGGAACAAAGGGTCACAAAAGTAAAGTTTATCCTGCTCTTGATAGGATAGTTTTGACAGTCTTGAATTTTTGAGACCTACTGATTCATGCCAGCTGTACCAATATTGACAAGTTATAGAAGTTTAATTGAAGCCTATCTGTCTGGGGCTGACTTTTAGAGAACCAGTTAGAGCTTCAGAGTGGATGATTTTAGAAATTTGGGTTCAAAAATCATGGTTACCACTGGCATTCTATGTTGTACCTTATACTTCTGACTTTAAGAAAAAAACAATTTCATATTACTATTAGTATATTAGCATTATTTGAACTCAAGAATTATTGACATTAATGAGTTCATTTCAAGGATGTGGAAGGTTAGATATTTTGATAACATAGTATAGTTGTATCAGGATATCTTTAGCTCTTCTTCAGTTCTTCCATGTGTGAACCTCTGAACTGTATTATATTAAAACAAGACAGCAGTGTTGTCTTGGAGTATGTCTGCAGAATTTGTAATAGAGGAATAAGGACAGGCTGGATCGCATTTTGGTGATATGCAACATTAGTACCTTTAACATTAAACTAAAGAAAGTGGGTCATGCTAGCCGAATGTGGTGAATTTTTCTCAGTAACTCAGGGATTTATTGGACAGCACTGAGCTCACAGCACTTTGCTCTGAAAATCCAACATTCTCAGAAATATCAACTGATCCAAAGGATTACTCGTACCCTTTGCTTGGAGGTAACCGGCCACGCCTGGCATTCCTCACTTCCTGCTTACAACTCTGAAAGCCTTCAAACCCCAGTGTTAAGGATGGCTTGCCTTCCAGACCCATATCATGTACTTTGGCAAACATTTATCTGTCTTAAAAAGATAAACCCTAACTGAAAATAATTGGACAACTTCACTTGAAGCCATCAAGTATCATCCTGTTTTGTGCAACGTCAATGAAAGAAGATGGGTGAGTCCAATATTTGTTAGGCTTACACACTTCATACATAAAGTTCAGAGCATCACTCTTACATATGCGTAAGGTTATTATGGAACTTTCAGTATTTCCTAGTAGAAGGCTGATCAAATGTTGCTTCCCTGGAACTGCTTTTCAAGTGTGTTGTCATATACCCTTTGACAACAGTATTATAACATGCATTGTACATATGCTTTTTGTTCTGAACAACTTACTAGTTCAAACCTAGAATTAACAGAACTAGAGTCTTCATGTTACTCCTAGGCAGCAATGAATTGCTTCTTTACTTTCTTCAGCACATATATGGTACATCATCTTTTCTTGATAAAATTTTCTCAAGTTCTTCCTGCATCTTTTATAGATTAAGCGTTTAGAAAATGGCTAACTTCTGCAGCTTCGTACTACTTCCTATGGATCTAAATTTTGTACTTCAAATGTACTTCTGATGGTAATTTTCTAATTTATTTTTCTAAAATCCCAGCATTTTGCAGAAAGAAGAAAGGAAAGCTCTAGAAAGATAAATTTGATTAGAAGTGAAAAGCAGTTCTTAGGTTTACACAAGAAGCTGGGGTCTGGAAAGGGGAAGTCAATGTACCAACTGCATGTTGCATGGGGTTCATTTGCTGGGTATTTTTTAGGGGGGGTGGGTTTGTTTGCTTTTTTCTCTTATGATGAAGAAAGATTTACAGGATATAAGAGTGCTTTGAGGGTGTCTACTATTTTGTCTCTGATGCGGTGAGCTTGTCCTTATATGAATAACAATAACTCATCTTTAGCTATAAAAACAAAAACAAACAAACAAAACTCATTTAGTGGTCCATTTAACATCTGTGAGCTTCTTGCCAAACCGTCATAGCAGGACACTGCTGGAAGGAGAAGTGCTAAGCATGAATTGTTTGACATATTTTGATTAATGTTTGTCAAGAACTAAATTTGTGGTTTTCTCACGCTGTTTAGGAAAATAGCTTAGTTTATCACAGTACAGTTTCAATATTTGCATTGGATAAACTGAACGTTTTATTTACTTGTGTCATATTGTGTTTTTCTGTAATAATGCAAACATATAAGCATGTATACATTTATTTGTTTGTTTTCTGTTTTTATAGACAATTCCATTGGGGCTCGGAGATGGACAGCTCTTTATCTGGACTGATGGCTTAAAAAGGAAGGACTGGCATGATTATGAAAGCATTCAAAAAGATGCTATGCGTTCAGGTATACCTAAATTCAGAGCAAATTTAAGTGGTTTATTCATTCTTTCTCCATATGGTTCTTTATTCTTTTAAGTCAGCTAAAAAAGCATTCCTAACAGCCTTTCTTCGATTGCAGCATGTCACAAGGACATAATGTCCTGAACTGAGGGGTCAGACCAACCACAAATAGTTTATCTCTGAAAATAGGCAAATGAAAATAAAAAGAATGTGTTTCATGCTAATAGCTATGTCATGATTTTACAGGGAAATCAGCAAAAATATTATTATAACAGTATTTTTTGTGTTGAAATCAGTTGTTATACTGTGACCAAATAGAAGCAAAAGTGTCAGTTTCCAAGGGGATGTATATCACAGCTGAAGCTAAGTTGTCCTTAAATCACTGGATAAAACCTGAATCCAGTCCCTATTACTGCCAAGAACATCCAAGGTTATGTTACAAACAAATTTTGACCCTTTTCACCATTATCGAGCCCAAATCCTTTAGTTTTGCTAAAGCTACTTCGCTTCATTCTGACAGTCTAAAATTATTTGAAAATGAGAGGAAATTCTATTTGTAGATACACTGAAGGGCACTTTGTTACAGCGAGTAATGTAATTTTAATGTACCTTCATGTGCTGTATGCCATATGTGCAAAGAAAGGTTTATGTTCTTTCTGTCATCAGAACATGTTCAGATTTGAATTTTTCTTTTATAATACAATTTACAGTTATTCAACATGAGATGAATTAAATTAAAAGGAAAGAAAGGAAACAGCAGCTGAATTGCACCTTAATCAGTGTCTGAAAGTCATTATTTTACAAAGGCCAATCTGCTATTCTAAAATAAATTATGCTGTCTTGATCCCACTGTCAGAAGACAGCCAACACCGCCCCCAAAATGCCTCTATAACTGAATCCAGTTGACAGATTCATAAGACTTAGTAAGTACTTGATTTTGCAGTAGCCTGAACCAGTAAAATATTGCAAGTATAGGTTAATTTTGTAAACCATTTTTCTCTTTCTCTTAAATCTCTTTGATCACTGTCGTGGTTTAAGCGAAGCCAATAACTCAGAACATCGGTGTGTTATCAGTGTTGTTTTCAGGCTAAAGTAAAAAACAAAGCACTGTACCAGCTACTAAGGAGGAAAAATGACTGCTACAGCTGAACCCAGGACATCACTAACAAAAAAATTATCCTTCCTTCCTACATGATCTTAGGAGGAAAAAAGGTCGGAAGGGGGATTAAGTTATTGTAGACGTTTTAGGAGTTGTCAGATCAATGTTAATTGTGTTCCAAATTGCTAAGTCTAAAATGACGAATATCTAGACAGAATATACAAAATAGAAGCAGCATGTCTGTATAACCATGCATATATGTAGTGAATATCAGAATGCAGATTTTTGAGGGATGTGCACTGATGCTTTGGCAATGTACTTTTGATTCCTGTCATGTCGATCCCATATATTTTGGAAAATAAACAGTAATACTTATGATTATCTAATGGATAGCTGTAGCACTGGCAATGTAATGCAAGCCACTGCATGGAGTGGACTAAAAAATTAGTAAAATGTTATGTGGCTTTATAATTCCCAGTCCTACTCTTTACATTATAACTGTAGAAGAATGCCCAAAACTGGTTTTGGTAATAACAATAATACTTAAAATATTCTGACTTGTTTATATTTTCATTGGCTTCCTGGTGATAGTGTTTGCTGAGGTTTAGCATTTAAGAAATCTTTAATGATTTCCATGTCATTATTATTAATTAGATTTCCTTTTTTCTTTGAAGATCACACCGCAGTAATGCAAATGCAAAGCTGAAGTATCTCAGTGCACATTTTGGAACGTACTATATAATTTCTGTCCCGAATAACAAAGCAAAATATAGCTGAAAACAACTTTTAGTTAAAAATCAATCTGAAGACATGAAATAACACCAGTGAAAGGGCTTTTCAGGGCATTTCAGGAAAGGCAGTCAATGCTTATTACACAGAAAAGGAGTGGAGACTTTCTCAAATTCAGTATATGTTTAATTGTAAAGCTTACAGTATTTAAGAACTGGGCATAAGAATTTCATAAATCTAATTATGGAGAGGTGCTAGCTTCATGGCTATTTCTTCTGTTTCAAGGCCAAATATTTTGACCCCCTTTTATTCCACCAAATTAAACCCAATATTCCTGAATTTGTGGTCTCTCCTCAATGGAAATCATTGATTGGTTTGAAGCTAAAGAGAAAAGCCATTTGTTGGAGCATCTGAGGTTCAAGTGTATGCTCATAGTGTTTCTACCATTAGTTCACATTCTGTAAGCATGATAATGGTACTTGAGAAGGAATTAAGTAAATAACAGAGTGGCAAGGCTTTGCATTTAGCCAAAACATAATTGATATTCAAAGACTCTTGCAGAGACAGAGGCTTCGTTAACTGGTACTACTTTTTCAGCTTCTAACTTAGATGGAATTTGCTCATGGTGTAGATCCTTCTAAGGCTGGTTTCCTTCAGCTGGATTTGCTGTCCACTCAAAGTGGAGGACACCTCTGTGGTCTTCCCACCTGAGAAGACAAGGGATGGTGCAGATGCAATCACACTGTAGCTATTGCTTGTTGTCACTCTCCTGTCAGTGACGGTCTAAATCTGCCCAGTGTGTCCACTTCTGCTGCACATAGTTTTGTTTAACGTTCCTTTATAGCTTAGAGTCCCACTCTCTAGGATGTCAGTTTTACAGCAGAAGACACATTAACTAGTTGCTACACATGTAATCTGAAGACTTGTGATACATATTCATGGTGGGTATTTCTTGGGATGAGGTGCTTACTTTTGGAAAATACATATTTTGTTTTTTAAGAATAGGAGAAGCGAATCTGAAGCTGTTTCACATAGCAAAGTCCAGGCAAGACTCTTCAAGTGTGCATAAAATTACATCTAGACGTGGACATCAGATCATCTTTTTTTAGTGGCCTTGTGGATTGTTACTCTGTTCTCAACACAGAAACAATGTACTCTTAGGTGAGATATATTTATATATGTATGTATTTGTGTGTATATATATATATTTATATATTCGAATGCTAATGACATTGGAGAAAGAAATAAACTCATCAATGAGGTAGGTACACCAGTGTAATATATCACAGGTGGTATGGCCTGTAATTAAGGCAGCAGCCTGGAAGTCTGTAAATTTAAGTATAGTTTCCACTTTACTCACAGGTATTTAATTTTCTCTGTGACTCAATTTTTTTGAAAGAGAACACTTTCAGGCTCTGTTAAGAATGTTGTAGGATATTGTTTCATGCTGGTGGAGAAAATGCAAAGCAGTCTTTGGAGTCATAATTCCTAGCTAATTTGTCCAACAGCATATTTTTTCTGTACCCTAGTAAAAATCTGTAAATTAGCATGTGATGTGGGACTGCACTGCTGTTAGTTTCGCTTATCACAGCATGGCCCAGTGGGCTACACACAGGTTTTTCTGAGATACTGCCATGATCTTACTGATGCTGTTTCACAGATGCACAAGACAGCAATTGTCTCCTACACCTATGCCCGTCTGTATCTTGTGTAACAGAATACCTACTTTATAGCCACTGCTGAAAGGAAGTTATCATCCAGTCTGCTTGGATTTTCTTCTCTGACTTCAAACCATGTGTCATTTTGATTTAGAAAAACAAACAAAACCCAAACAACCCAACTCTACATTCAACAACTTGCATTTTCTGAAATTTAGTGGACACAGAGATGGGTTAAAAATTCCCCACTGATAGATCTGCCGATACAGGTTAATTGTATATTTTTGTATACTATCATGTTTACTGTTGCTTTTTTGAGTTAGGAAAAGTATCAGAACTAATTCTCTAATACAAATTAATTTGCTATTTTACTTGCAGCTTATTTCTTTTTCGCCACGACTTGAATGCAATTTCAATATTTTCAATCCCAAGGAATGAAAATAAGATTTTCAAAACAGCTCTAAAAGAATTTTATTTGGTTAATGTTGATACAGGAATGCAAGAAGCCCATAAAGGGAATGTGCTGTTGGGTTGCAAAAGTACTAATAGATATACTGATGGTAGAATAGGGAAGATAGCCAATTTGTTGCCAGTTACCCAAGCCCTGATTTCCTCAAAGGCAGAAAGGAGACCTTAATGATTTGTATTAAATATACTGCTCATCAGTACAGAATAGACGTGAATGAAAATTATTTAATTCAGCTAACCCAATTGCTTACATTTTTCTCTGAGTATTATTCTGTCACAACCTCAAAGCCAAATGCAGGAAAAGAAATGCAAAAGTTGACCTTAATAAAACCTGTGATTCCCAGCTAAACAGTTGGGATAGATACTTCAGGAGAGAAAAAAATAAAAAAAGAGGTTTAATTGTTTAAATTTTCTGAAGTAAGCCCTAAAGTTGAGCAGATATTACAATGGAGCGGGAGGGAACAGAATAAGCTAATCAGAGAAACTGACTTTATTGGAGCTGATATGTCATGCCATCTTTTGACAAGAAATCAGCATTTAAAATAAGAGCTGTTTCTATTAATTTATTTTCCTCTGGGAATTCAACTGATGACATGCTCTGATGAAGAATATGCTTAATTTGCATTAAAAAATATGAGAATACAAACGAAATGCAAATCTTAAATCTGCCAATTTTTGTTTGTGTAAGTAGTAAACAATGTCATATCTGTATCAGAAGAGCATTCTTGCATTTCAGTTCATAGTTGTGAGTGCAAGATTTTGTAGTAAAATGTAAATGCAGATTGTGTAGTAATAACTCAGGTCGCTACTGGCATGCTTATTTGTCCAGCTACAGCAGTGCTGTATCAGGGCAGTGTAAATCTGCCTGTATTTTTTGATAGCGAACCTGGACGCTGAAGCTCCTGATACTGCTGTTTATCAGCTACTCTTCAGAGGTTGCATCAGAGGTTTCCCTGTTTCCCTTTGGTTGGCTGGTGAGGACTCTGAGGACATGTCTATCAAGATGCTCATTTCAGGAGCATTGGAAACTGCTGTGGCACCTGTGGCCAC